TAATTGATTTTACCCGGCAGAACGAAAGAAGGAAACTCCGCTTTTCAGTCGTCTTAGGCACTCGTTTTTTGACAAACAATGACCTTTCAGAGGTCAAATTGCTGTCAAGAATATGAATTGGCTGCTTCGCAGCAATTACCATCTTTCTTTAGTTGTATAACAGTAATTTTATTGGATATACGATAAGATTCTTCTTTCCATTAAAGCACTATAATCATAGATTAGTTATAAATTGTACAATGGCGGTACACACATTCAAAGGATCAATATCAGTCTCAAACCCATAATGGTTTAAAGAACATTTATGCCTAATACTATCTATTTGGAGACAATAATAACATAATATAGCATAATTGGAATAATACATTTTTAGAATATGATTTGATTATTATCTTTAAAATATGAAAATATGATTGAGTTAAAGTCAACAGTTGAGAGTATAGCGTGCTACGCAATGTGTGTCAAACTATTATTGTCTTGTATCTCGATAGTTTGTTGGCCTTAGGAAGTTGGCATACAACCATCAACTTTCTGTCCATCTCCTGTCTTAACGTTGGTGGTCCATGTCAGCTGCTGTTACTGTCATATCTCGTTGTTATTAATTTTCTGTGGCTCATCTCTGCTTCTGCACTTGCCGTTGTGGCCACCAAGTTTGGGCCCATTGGCGTAAAAGAAGAACGTCAGTCTACCTGCAGGTGACGTGTTCCCCTGCACAGGTGATTGCCTTATGCTCACATATTTTGTTTGTTCTTGATGTAGATCTCGGCTGGATTACGATCAATCACATCAAAATCGTAATAGAAGCTGTGTTTTCTTTGCCATGTCAAAGAGATTTTAAAAAAGAAAAAGTTTTCTTTAAAAAGAAAATGGTATATTGGGAGTTAAAATTTAACTTATTAAAGAAAAATTTCTTGTTGCTATAAAATAATTGTGAAATCTTTACTAAACCTGATCCAGGGAGGTTTTGTCAATATTGCCCATGGGTAAAATGAACTTTTTTTATTTGTGTAATAGTTAAAGTTTAAATTGATAAATTCAATGTACAGTAGTGCAAAAGTTTAGCAAAGTGATTACAAAAGTTCCTTTACAATTAAGTGATACATAAATAGTGGCACTTTGTATATTCTTTGTGTGGACCATAGCATCATGTTCAACATTGCATGTTTCATTATACCAGATGAGTCCACCTCTCCCGGATGGCTGAATAATTTTTTTAATTTATTTTTTCTTGGCAGGTGGTACAGCCATGTAAGTTTCTGATATAGGGAATTGTCACTCATAATGTTACCATGGTGCCCTGACTTGTCAGTCATAGTTTTAGCATTGTGAATTGCCACTTAGAGTATTACTAAAGTGAATTGTCACTCTTAGGGTGCATTCGGGAAAATTTTTTGTGGAGTCTAACATGTGGTAAATCCGGAAACGGTAATTTCCAGTTCCAGCCCGAATGGATGCTTAACGCGGACTGTCTGCTGATATCTGCTGATAATCCAATGCTGCAAATTGCAGTGTTTTTGGAGGAGCAAAAGCAGCATGCGTTAGCAGCAAGGAGCATTTTTTATCACTTAATCCCCTTTGATTGTTTCAACACGCGCCAGAAGTAAAGTATGATTAAAGGTTCATGTTCCCTGCTTCTGTTATAGTTTATTTCCAAAAACAAACTGAAAAGCTTGATAAATTAAATTGTTTAAACTGAGGGCTAACCTAGAACCCAGACTCATAACTCATTACATACATCTGCCACATGCATACATGATCATGGAACCACTGCTTATTCGTTTAACAGTGGTAGTAATTTTCTGTTTTTAAACTATAGTTGTCAAATGAATGAAAGTTTATTCATGGTTTATACACCAAAAATGCACATCTGCGATTTATTGGGAGTTTGCAATGTATGCTTTATTATTGTTGTAGCTTCTTCGGTAATCATTACTTGATTTTGAGACAACAATATTATGTGAGTGGACCAACGCCAAAGTCTGTTTTTTAATTAAAACTTGGGGTGACCAGCTGGGTGACGTAAGGGTCCAGGGCAACTCACCATTTGAATAATACCTTAGGTTTTACGTCCGAGTTCTGCACGGTAGACCACCCGCGGATAAAATACAGTACCAGTAAGAACCTTATGTAACTTTGTCCTGTTCTCGCCCGAACACACCCTTAGTGTTACCATGGTGACTTTACTGTTAGCGTTTCAATGGTGTTTTCCAACTCCAGACTTTCCGTAGTAAGCCTTTTTCTACAGAATTTTACCTAATTACGGACGTACGGAAATAGACAAAAATACTATGGAAACTTATCATATGCCTAGACCCATAAATATATAGGTCCAGAATAAATGCCTTTTCATTCACAATCTTTGGTAACATTAACTAATACTTTTCAGTTTACTGATAAATGATTGAGAAAACTAAGGAAAAGTGTCCGATAAATCTACATCATGTCCTGTGTGTTTGAAATTCCACATCAAATTACAGACAATCGGGCCCGAAGAAAGTGGGCCGATCGTCCTAAAAAAGTTATCCATAAATCTTCATCCCGTCCAGATTGTTTGAAATTCCAAATGAGATGTACTGCAATTTTGAGCAACTATATCTTATACTCAAGGCAAATAATTTTCTACAGCAATTTTGAAGACATAGTTATGGAAATGCATTTTACGAACTTGAGAAGTCTGCAACTCAGGGTGTTATGGTGTCTTTTCACTTGTGTTTACCATGGTGATTGGCCATACGTAGTATCACCATGGTGACTTGTCACTCATGGTGGCATTATTCACATCAGTTTAGAGAATCACATTTCTTTGGTATTAAATTATATATATTTTTTTTGTGTGTGTAATCTAGCAATGTTGCAAATGTTGTCGACTTGGAACAGAAGCGAGGGAACAAGGGATGGACTGCAATGCCGATATACCGGACTTGGGAACACTTTGTAGGAGAGCGTTTATGTCTTGTTGCGTAGATGGAGCTGCCGGGAATATTCCAGATCCTACCGCTACAACTATCAATGGTAAATTTTTCACACTTTTTTTTAAAGGTCACTACAATTTTTTTAAACGCAGTATCCAGTACAAATAGTAATGAGTTTATTTATTTTCTATTTCTTATAAAAATATATGAAAAGAACTAAGTACGGTATACAGTTTTATGCCCATCTAATCACAAATAAAATATTATACATGAAAAATAAATTAACCAGAAACTCTTACGATTTTAGAGTGCAAATTAAAAATTGTTAAAAACGAATCAGTTGTTCAAAATTTCCAGCTTAATGCGTGTTTTGCCTGATTTTTTTTTTTTTTTTTTGGAAAGGCTCCCAATTGTAATTGCTATGTTTGCTTTTATTGCTACTTTATGCACAAACCTGTCATGCCAAGATTGATCCAGGTTTGGACTTATTTTGATAAAAATTGCTCCAGCAATATATGCATATATCAATATAATGATTAATTAATAATAACTGATATTAAATTAGCTGGTAAAATGTTGAATAAAAAAAACTTTTTGATATTTATTTAAAGATTTATTCTAGAGTATGTAGGCCAAATTTTGTTTTTATAATTGTATGTAAGAGATAAAAAAATTAAATTTTTATTCAGGAATGAATGAGTGTCTGGCACCAGGAGTTTGCCAGCACCGCTGCATTGATACGCCAGACTCCTACCGCTGCGAATGTAATCCCGGATACATCCTTCAATCAGATCGCATTACTTGTGTTCCTGGTAAGTTTAAGTCTGCTTTGCTACTGTAATGCACCATCTTTCATAAGAGACATTTAAGTCATTGGTCCTCCAGTGTACAAAATTACCCATGTGCATGTTAACAGATGGAAAGATAGATTATTAAATAATTGTTGGCAAGATGTCATGGAAATTGTGATTGCCCCATGATCATCGGCATACTGCTGTTTTGGGTCACCCTCTGTGAATGAAGTTGAATAACAAAATAAAATAAATAACAAAAAATATACTGTAAAATGTTATGATATATAGAAACTTAAAAAAACTTCCTTATTATTTTTTAACTATATATCTATTAACATGCACATGGTTCAAATTGTATTAAATTGCTTAAATATCTTTTATTACATATTAAGCTTATATATATTAAGCTTATGAAACAGGACTTTCTATTTTTAATGATGATATATGTTTCCAATGGTAAAATCACTTGACATATAAAAACATTATTGAAGTGGAAAGCATATTATACCTCTAACCATGCCTTAGTTTAAGGAGTAGGTTTTTTTTAGTTTCATAAAATAACTTCAACTTTCTTTTTTCTCAAAATGTCCAAATCAAAGAGCTCAATCACCAAGCGCATAGAAACTTTTTCACATGATGCGCTCTACAAATCCAACTATTATTATTTAACATTTACATGTGAAGCTGATGTCAGTGATTATAAGAATGTAGAGAAAGTAAATCCAATAAAATTCACCATATAATATCATACCAACCTACAGTATATTTAAACTGTGTGTCAGATAGACAAAGCAACAAAGAGATTATAGCTAGTTCAATTTTCAGATTGTTGAGACTGAGTAAGATTTTGCAAAAATGTACAATCTTACATTGTAATTTTAACTGAGGTCAGGTTCACACAAGAGCCCTAGTATCTGGATCGGGAGCTAACCGTTAGCGCTAACCGTTAGTACCTGTGTGAGAGCACCCTAAAAGGTTAGTGCTAACCGTTACCAGGATCCGGGCACTATCCGGAGCGCTATCGGTTAGCAAGTTGAACATGTTTTTTATCATCAACCAATCACACATACGCGTTTCCAGTTTACAGTTTCCTATTGGCCAATGATTCGATCATCATATCTTCTTGGTATCCGGATCGCGATTTTCGCCGTGAACGCACGGCAGCTAACGGTTAGCAGGATCCGGATCCCTATTTATTCAGTTCTGATTAACCCAGAAACAAGGAAATTTAAGTGGGATGGCAAAGAGATACAAGAAGATTCTCAAATTTCTGAGACCGGATAGATCACAGATCCACTTAGGAAATAATTTACAACAACGCAGATCAACATCTGTCTAATAATAGCTATTATAAGTCAATCGTGACATCATCACTGTAACTCCCAATGTTATTTGCCTATTCCCCAGCGTCCACTAATTTTTCTATTAGTGGACGCTTGGCTTGATTTTTTTTAGGTTCGTGTGCAAAAAAAATTCCTCATTTTTTTGTCACCGCGAATACATCGCGCACCGCGATAAAAATTGAATTGTAATTGAAAATTGCTTTCGTAAACAAGTTATTAAGAACTCGAAGAATGTTACTTCAAATTCAATATTAAGTATGAATATTTAAGGAATTCATTGAATCAATGGACCCTCATAAACACAACAAACTGAACGTTTAATAGGAATATTCTATACCTATTTTAAAGACTCCAGGAACAAATTTAGATGTAGGCCTATGGCCAGGCAGGAGGCCACGCTGGCCTCCTACTACTACTACTTTCTAGACCGTAGCCTAGCCTAGTTATGAAATCTTCGCACGATTTTACCTGTCTGCATGCACCGACCTCTCTCTCTCGAATGCTGAAATGTTTATTTCTTTGACGAAAGTCTATCAAAATAGCATTACAAACAAGTTCATTCTAACACAATACAAATTACAAATGTTATTCATCCGTCATCGTATCCGTACTGTACTGTGCTGCTGATGTGTAGTTAAACGCATATTGCAGGAGCAAAAATCAGCATACGCACAGCTAAATTTAAATACGCACACGTATACTGATCATATCACTATAGCAACCGATGACTGCTACAACAGTTGGTTATAAAAAAACTAAAATTAAAAGACGGTGATTGACTTATAAAGCAATTAGTAGAGCATGCATCGTACACTAAATGGAAAATTATTATACTTAGGTTAGATTTAATGCATTCAAAAATTTCCTTCGGGCCTTGCAAGCCCTCAGGAAATTTTTTCAAGCATTAAATCTAACCTTCGTACAATAATTTCCCTATAGGGTACTATGCGGAGCTCTACTAATTGCTTACTATGCACCTGGTTACTAAAACAATATATAATCTTAGGATCTTGGGTTCGAATCCTCATGAGGAGGGGAACCTACTAAACTCACAAGATTTGGGGATGTGTTTATATTTACATAAGCACATAATACTTTCCTTTTTTTCTTTGTACATCTTCAAATGCAGTGTATTCTTGAGGGAACTAATTACAGGTCTTTCTCAAGTAGTAATAATAATAATATAACACAATCCTTACTCATTGTTTCTGTTTTACATGGACATTGCGTGAGTATTAACCCTGAAACACTGGAGATGCTAACGAAGCAGACACCCTTGCTACATCCTTAACAACTTCCTTGTAATTGCCAAGTTACATGTGACGTGTTAATCCTCTTTAACTTGAACTTTTTGCTGGAATTATTGTCTTGTCCTTGGCCTTGAGATTCAGATGAAATTCCCATCAATTTCCTTTAAAAATTTCTTTGTTCATGGAACCTTCATTAAACTTGCTTCCTCAGTGTTATTCTGAACACATTTTATTCTTATAATTTTATAAAATAATATTATTAAATATATTGTACTTCATACAATACAAGTTTTTTCAGGTAGTGTGGCGAGGCTTATGCCTTGTTTCGAGAACTTTTTTTTATAAAGATCGTCAGAGGAGGGTGGGGGGGGAATAAAAATAAAATTTTGTTTCCTTATTTAGCAACATCCATGCGGAGGAGAATATTTTTCTGAGTGCAGTGGCTGGCTTAATAAAAAAATTTTTTAAATAATTTTTTTCCTGAAATTCCAATTTTTCGTAGCAGCGGGTACGCTAATTAGCCAAAAAGTGGGTGTTACTATATATCAAAATTGACATTTCCGCTAAGTCCCACCCCTGAGGAATTGTTGCTAAGGTTCACAAAACAATAGTGTAAATGTTTGTAAACACATGCGCTTGAAGGACACGTGCATATTCCAGGCTCTGTTCTGATTGGTCAGTTGATAGGTTTGATTGACACTCTGGTAAGTTCATGTCATGTCATGTATATTGGTTTTTTTTTTTTTAGTTAATGGCGATAGATGTTCTACTTCGCCATGTGAGCACCAGTGTACTGACACAGGCGACCGGGTCATCTGCACTTGCGACGCAGGCTACATACTACAGTCTGATGGAAGATCCTGCAGTGGTAGGTTTACGTCCTGCAAAAGACCTAATGCTGTATGGACCAGTACACTGGGGTAACTGTACTCGTCTCAAAAGATGTACTGGGTTCTTGTGTACTGGGCCTACGGTTTATAGTCCTTATCCGAGAAGACTTGTTCTATCACGAGAACCATAGACGAGTGTGTCGCTTGAACCAGCGCTGATATTATAGATGTATGTTGTGGCACCCCTGCTATTAACTGCTTGAACATTCGACTGAGGTGTCATAGTGATACTTGTACCAAGGATAATTGAATGAAAGCAAAATACAATGGTTCTAGGAGGTATAGTTTTGGGTATGCAGGCTCCACCCTTAAGATTTGAACCATCTTCCCCAACATGCATAGTTTGAATGTAGATAATGATTATCAATCAATTTATAGGACCTAAGCTTACTATTATGATTCCAAGTTAATGCTTATTGAATGAAATGATACCAAAATTGAAACAAAGTGTGTTAGTCATTTCTCTTTAGGTTTTTATTGAGAATTATTATTATATTATTCTCATGGTATTAAGTTTTAATTAATAAATTAATAAATAATAATAAATTATAATCAGAAAAATATGTTACTGTTCTTGAAATAATTATCAACCTAATGCTGCTATTATCTTTAGTGTCATGTCATTTTAGTATTTCATTGATCATAAATAATTTTAGTACCATTTTGGTAATTATTTTTTTTTATCAAATTGTGTTTAAACCAGACATTGATGAATGCCAGGATTCGAGGACTTGTCAACTGGGTGAGACTTGCATTAATGAAGTTGGATCATTCCGCTGCGAAAGAAGATAGAAAATTAATTGTTTTGCAATAGAATAATCATATGTGTCTACACGACTTAAATTGCAATTGTGCTGTGACTGCAAATAGAAACACATTTGATTTGAACTTTGAACCTTAGATTTGTGGTTAAGATGCAAACTTGGTTTCGCGACCATTACTTTTGTTCTGTTGTTGTTTTGTTGGTAACCACGTTTTGATGTATCGGGGTGGTACAATAATATAGAATTAATTCTATTGCTGCTGGAAAGATAATACATCAGTGCTTATTGAAAGAATGAAATGAAATTTATATTTGTCCTGCAGTGTGGCGCATATAGTTAGTAAATTTTATAATTCCCAATTGAAGAATCATGATATTTTAGTGTGTCATGTTTGTGTTGTGTGAGATACTAAAAACTTTATTATGTTTCTTCTGTTTACCAACGATGTAAATTCATAATGGAAACTGAATCAATGAACTACATACTCTGTCTCGGAATCTGTGGATGCTATTTTGTGCATGTTAGATTTGATGTAATAAGTTATAATATGATAACGATGACTTATAAGATACATATTGTCATCTTCTATGCACTTTACAAATGTGCATTATATTTTTATTGTTGTTGTTCATATGTAGTAGTTGTTGTTGCTACCATTAGTGTGGTCATCATCATTTACATTATTATTATCATTGTTTTTTTTTTTTAATTTGCTGATGTTATCTTTGATATTATTATGGTAATTTTTCATTGACAGAACCAATGCCATAGTAATTCTAACTAACAGCTCTCTCGTATTGGGAGAGGGCGCATGTTTAATTTTTAGTGTCCTCAGACTACAGTGACTTAGCCTGCATGTGCAATTTTGTGTATTAATATAGTTCTTTTTTCTCAGATATTAATGAGTGTGTACAAAACATAAATGCGTGCTCCCAGGGATCTCGCTGTGAGAATAGTCCCGGCAGCTACAAGTGTACACGCATAACACCATGTGGCACTGGATACACGGTGAACGCTCTCACCCAGCTCTGTGATGGTTAGATTAACATAGAATTAACATTTATGGCAAAGACAAGCCAAACCGGTCACTCGTCGCAAATCGTGTTTCAGAGAAAATGACCAAAACATGCTGGAATATCAAATTTTTAAAAAATCTATTTTATTGCACTAAACTAACCTTTATATATCTACACATCATTCTATGCTGTTATTTTCCTCATTTTCAATGTTAAAACAACACTTGTAAAGATAGTTTCTGCATGAGAAATGCCTGAAATTATAAACTTTGACAGTGAATTTCTCATATATTGTTCTTTAAACAGCTGTGTGGTTAAACGCTTGTAACTTCATGAGGAAATGTCCGATTTGAATGATTTTTTAACCATTTTATAGCTATTATTTTACTCTCTAACACTGTATTAATAACTCAAAATCGATTTTTGCGACGAGTGACTGGGTTTGGCTTGTCTTTGCCACATTTATGTAGTCTTCAATTAAACTGGAATGCATTATATTATATAACTGTAGAAAATAACAGAAATGTGACCTTAATTCAAACATGCTACCAAGAGTCATAACAAACAATAAAAATTAAAAAATAGATTATATATTCTAAAATTTTAATAAAAAATTATTTTGGCAAATTGTCGTTTGACAAATAGGATCTAATATTATCTTTTATGTGCATTTGATTTGAAGTGTTCCCACTAATCGTTTGTAATTTACACAAACTTAATGTAACAATATTATATGGGTGTGTTATGACATCATCATCTCATGCCCATATATAGGCTAATCAAAATTTTTTAACATAAAAAATTAATAGTGTTAAAAAACTTCTTAAAAACAATATTGACATTTCATTATCCTTCTGTCAGATATTGACGAGTGTGCGCTTGGCACCCATACTTGTACTGTAAAAGAAAGGTGCATCAACTATAGAGGTCGTTTCAGGTGTGAGAACTGCCGCAGAGGGTTCAAAGTTGACGGAAGTAACCAGTGTACCATTGGTAAATGCTGATGTTATCAGATTTGATATAGTTTCTCTGTATTTATTGTTTATTGTTGTCTTAGCTAAACCTATTTATTTCTTTATTCTTTATTTCAAAAACCACATACAACAGCAATTACTTGCCAATAACAGGATGTCATAGAATATTTACAAGCATATAAATATAACAAAGATATAAATAGAAAAACACACAAAAAAGAAACAGGGTCACAAGTCACACATACACTCACAGAACCCTACACACTCATCCACATCCCAAACCCAATCAGATCAATTATGTAAATGCATCCCTTCTAGGCCTGCATTTCTTGTCCTTGGATTAATTTTGTTCTTAGTGGGGTGGGGTGTGGGATTATACACGAATAACAGTAATTTATACACTGGTAGGAACTTTAAAATATGGCAATAACAACAACAATTCATGTACTACATACTACATAATACACTAAATAACAAAGCATGAACAATTCTTGACTAAGGCTTGTATATAAGCTGCTATTCCCTCATCTCCTTTCTTTAGTGGAGAGGGGTAAAATTTAAATTGTTCAGGGAAGGTGGAGGAGGGAAGAAGGGATTAAATTAAGCTGTTTTGAGATGGGTTTTAGTTTTTTATTTGTCTTGTAAATATTTGTCTTTAAGTTTTTGTGTTTGTGGACGCATTTTTGTTTTACAAAATTGTGCCAAGGATGTAAACGTATAAGTCCAAATTATATAGGTTTTTGATATTTTCTCATAGACATTAATGAGTGTGAGGAAGAGGCCAATGCTTGTCGCTCAAATACCATTTGTCAGAATACCATTGGAGGATACCAATGTCGGAGAAGGTGCCCAACAGGATATAAGTATGATGAAGTTGGCCAGAACTGTGTCGGTAAGGAGATACTAAGGAGCTTTTGATTTGTGCGACGACGCGACGCTAGAATGGAATCACTCATGCGTGACCATCCTACCTGGCGTGCTACGTTATCCACATACGTAGATTTGGCCAAATTGCGTTCCAGAATCTACTCGACGAGGTGACCTTAACGTTCTCGCATGCGCAGATGACTTTTTGTGATGTCATTACGTTCTACATCCTACCGTCGTCGTGCAATCGAAAGCTTCCTAATAATAGAAGCCTTCCTTCCTAGAGGAATTCAGTGGTTGTTGTCAACCAGAAGCTAAGAAATTGTCTATAAATAAATCAGTTTTTTACAACCTGGAGTATTTATTAATTTTTTATTGGTTGATTTATTTATATATTATTAAATTTATTTCTTTTTTTTTGACTTACAAAACCAATAGTGACAAATATTGAATTTTTTTGATATCATTAATAAGATATTTTTGTTTGTTTGGTCCTGTGAATCCCTAATCACTAGAGCTACACAGGTGTTAATGTAGCTTCCTTTAGCGAATAATCGCTAATAATAATAGATTCTAGTTACTGTTATCAGTTGACTGGAACAGTAATAGCAGGGTTACCACATGCAGGTTAACAGCATGACCCTGATGAACGCAACACCAAAATATAGTATGAAAATTCATGACTATAGACCTACATTTGCATTCTTATATTCTAATGTTCCTGGTACCATAGAGTTTTCATATTTTACATGGATGCTTTGATATATTTCAGATGTTGATGAGTGCGCAGAACAAACGCATAACTGTTTAGTTGGTCAGAATTGTGTAAACAGACAAGGAAGCTTTTCTTGTCAGTGTCCACAAGGATATACTGCCAACAGGATCACAGGCAGATGTGAAGGTACGACTTATGCAACACTGTGCATATTGTTGAAACATATCAGTGTAGTATGGCATGGGAAGGGGTAAGAGTAGCGGTTGTGTCAGGATTTGCATGATGGGAGGGCTAAGTTGAGACTTTCTTTACCTTTTTTTGCGAACCTGCTGCCTGCTAATAATGATGATTTCGAATTAAAATAAAACTGTGTTTTTGGCCAGTTAGCACATCCGCTGCCAGCAAAAAATGGAAATTTCAGCCACTGCCCTGAAAACTCAAAAACTATGTATATTTCTTTGTAATTATTTAAATTTAAAGTATTTAACCATCCCATACTACACTGTTTACATTCACCAATAAAATTTTATTTTTATTCCCTTCTCTGTTTGGATGTTTTTGGCAAATATATTTGCTAAATAAGAAAGCAAAATTTTCATTTTTATTTTTTTCCTCCATCCTCTGACAATCTTTAGTTCACGAAACAAGGTATAAACAAAATCTGACTACTTCTGATGGAGACTAAGTGCATTGCACAGTCTTTTATTCATTTGTGACAAACAAATTTTAGCTAAATGTAAATATATTTTGAAAACTCCAGAACATGCCCTATTCCGTGAGTTTGAAATATCACTACATGGTCTCGGGTACAAAAGTCATGTGTGTAGGACAAAACGGAAGTGAAATTCATATGTTCTAACTGGTATTGATGCTCTTAAATAAAAATAAAATAATTTTAATGTTTTGTAAATGAAATTATGATAAATTAAGATAGTATTGTATTATTATCCATTGTATTCAGTCCTGTTTTCAAGAATTTCCCCATGTGGGATGAATAAAGATTATATTGATTGAAGTCTGTAAACAGACGTAAGGATCAGTCTTTTTTTAGGTCTTTGGATGTTAAAAGATCAAATATGAATCACATTATATTTTGCAATGGTCTTCAGATGTGGATGAGTGCCAGCGACGAGTGTGCCAACACAAATGTACCAACACACCAGGCAGCTTCCAATGCTCATGTAACGATGGCTTTGAACTCAACACAGATGGTAGAACTTGTAAAGGTAATTCCAGGGGTTAACTGTGTCTGATGGTGTCTGTTAAATTAAATAAGTTTAAATCATGGTTATTTTTTAAGCAACTATTCCTGTCATGTATAGCAAAAACAGACGAAATGTACAGAAAGTCACGAAAAGATTTTTATTTTTCTTATACAGTAATGGGTAAATAATTTGAATCCATAAGCACAAAAATAATGGTTTTGGCATATATCAGTAATTATAGAGTGTTAGCTAGTATCAACCATAGAGAATCTATTGCAACTTACTTCTTGCCAATGACCCATGACCTCATTTTATCTTGCATTTTTTTTTTTTTTTTTGTGATTTAAAACTTTTTTTGTAAACTAAATATGTATACTGATACAGTTTGCAATAAATAATTTTCTTTTCATATAGTATCATAATTATTCATGGAAGAAAACATCACCAAGTGAAAATAATGAATTATGTAGGCTTAAACTGGATATAATAATAATTCTATTAATATTTATGTCACTATATTTTATCTTTTTTTTCCTTGTTCAGACCGGGACGAATGTTCCATCTCAAGCCCATGTCAGCAGCGCTGTATGAACACGTATGGTTCATACCGATGCTATTGTGAGCGTGGATATAGAACAAGAGAGGATGGAAGCTGTGTAGATAACGATGAATGCAGTTTATTTGCCGGTAGAGGGCGTCTGTGTGGTGGAATCTGCTACAATACACTCGGATCATATGAATGCCGATGTCCTGCTGGATATATTCTGCAATCTGATCGTAGAACTTGTAAAGGTAAGATTCTGCCTTAAGAAAATATGCTATATTAAATTCAATTTAGTTTATTTCACAATCATCTCTACAAAAAGGTATGAAGTACAGGCAACAAAATTTACACAATATAGAAGTAGAAGAAGAAACATTATGTCCTTCATATAAAAACATTTCTTGTAATTTTTCTCCACTGATCAGTTATTTATAAGTATACTTTGTATATATGCAGTACTAAGTAGAAGTCTGGTGTAAGAATGCTTTCTGTAAGAAAATTTTAAAACTTCTGATATTTGATACCAGTATTTGACTAATTTTATTCCTCAGACAAAGATGAATGTGCTCTAGGTCTGGATAACTGTGGTTCTGAACACACCTGTTTCAATATCGGGGGAAGCTTCAAGTGCAACTACGTACAATGTCCCCCTTACTTCACTAAAGATAACAGGTAAGTGCATGGCTCAAAGTCTGTGAAGGTACTACCAAATATGTTACTGCTAAGATCAGCCAATGTGGTAACAATTGAATCTCCCTAGGCATCTAGGTAGGTTCGTGCCAAGCAGGACTTAATGAGGAGGCCTATTGTATGAGGCTCAACCACTTTTCTGCATATTCCTTTTTCCTTGCTTGCTTGTCTCCAAAGCTTCCTACCTTATTTCCTTTTCCTCTAGTTTGTAACTTTCTCATCTGTATTGTATCTTACTGTTTTTGTTGAGTTATACATAGCATGATTAATAATGTGTTTTAATTTGGTGTTAATTTTTTACAAAACATAATCATAACATGAAACAAGAGTTTACAATAGGGAAAGAGTATCAACAACATATTTTTTTGGTATAATAATATTTTTGGTAACATAAAGCTTGCTTGGCAATAACACCGTTTTTTTTAACCGCATTGAAACATCGCTTTATAATAGTAGTCATTCACATAGCGAGTTGGCAAAGAAAAATAATCGCAATGCTGCAGAGTGTATAACGAGTAAGGCCGCTTACAAATGAACTAAAGGTAAGATTTGTTTGATGTAGTGCAAGTATGAAGTTGTATATACTGCAAAGATCTTATAATAATGAGATGGCGTTCTCTGTGATTTCTGCGTGCAAATTCTGTAACAATGCAGTGTAGTGCGCACTCTCTCAATTAAAATTATTTTTTCAACTTTGACATCTATGATCTTTGTGCGAACTCTGGAACAACAACCATGATAACAACTATAACGCCCTCTCTCAATTACAATTATTACTATCGTTTTCTGCGTGAGTGGATGCTTCTGTTTTGTTACACGTAAACTGCCGACAGCGCTATCTTGTTATTATAAGATGTTTGATACACTGTATATAGAAAAATAGAAAATTCTGCTATGTGTACTTGGGAATATTTATAATACAAATAAAGTATGAAATAATAAAGGATATTTATTGAAATGCATTGATTGGGAGTATTACAATCTAACAGTTATAACATGACAACTAATTATTAGTACTAGTTTTTACTTTTGTATTGATAGTAATGTAGTTTGAAGCGTTACCCTAGTTTCCTTCTACCCCTGACCCCGCTCTTCACCATCCACAACAAATAATACATATTGCTATATAGTTTTGTGGAGTTAGATTATTTTTTAGCAATATTATTTATCTAACATACAGGCATGCTTTAAGTAAAGAGAGATACACTGGAAACGGGTTCATTATCACTGTGTGTACATATCTGTAGGTTCCAGTCTTATACTATATACGTGATATAGTTTAATATTTTGCCCTTTGATATTTCTGTTTCAGCAAATGTATCCGCCGTTTGTGTGCTATTGATGACCCAGTATGCATCAGCCAACCAACATCGATCACTTACACTTACCTCTCATGGTATTCGTTACCAACTGTACCGGCAATGGTCTACCGTCTAACAGCGACTCCGCAAGCGGGCTACACATATGAGTTCACTCTGAATAAAGGCAATGAAAGAGGTGAATTTGATTTGAGGGCCGTGTACAACGTTGGAACTCTTAATATGATTACCTCAATCATGGGCCCAAGAGAAATTGAACTGGAGTTGGAGTTAAAGATGTTTTACATGGACACTCTGCGAGGACGGAATATTGCTCGAATCTTCCTTTATATTTCAAAATATAACTACTAAAGACAATAATGTATTGAAAGATTTTTTTGCTAATTGGTTTGGCTGTAAAAAATGAAATATAAGTCTTTGTATTTTGTATATATTTATTATATACAGTATAGATTTACATAATAATTCTTTTTATTTCATGTAATCTTATGTAATTTCCAGCTCAATGGTTATTTAAAAGGTCAGAAAAGCTGATGAAGGCTTTTTTTTTTAATCGGATCTTTCATTTAAAATTAGTTTTATAAACTTTCAAAATCGACCAATATTGGTAAAGAATAGTATTATTATAACGTTCGTACTAAATTAAACCAATTTGCATTTTTTTCACATTTACATGATCTAATTCTGGATAATGGTAACATTTGTTGAACTTTGACCTCTGTATATATTGTACAGTACAAAGCAATAGAAATGAATTTATTCTTTGCCATCTTTTTCAGGTTGATATTCTCAGCAATAAATAGAAAAAGTAGCAACGTTTTTATATACTGTAATTTGAAAAGAATAGTAATTTTTGATCTGTAAAAGATAGATAAACCTAGAGCAAGAATTTGTGTATTTAATTAACTAAAGCGTTAATCCCTGAATTTCATTTCATTTTCATTTCATTTATTTTGTCTCAATAAAATACATAAAAAACAACAACCGGTTACATTACAACAAAATAAAAGCATAAACAATCTGAAATAGGCCGAGACAGGATTCCTATCTTAATTTGTTTTTGACTGGGGTTCGTTCTTAAGCTGCTGTTCACACTATCAACTTGTATTTGACAAAAAACATGTGACATACCTAAATAAGGTAATTATGACGTCACATCATGACCATATATAGGCACATCATCACTATACTATATATGGACATACACCAGTTCATTCTTAAAATGTTGCAGTCCCACAGGGCCTTTAGTTGGTGGATGCTGCAGGCTACAAATTCACCACAGTTCCACCATGATCAGTTTTCAAAAATATTTTTACTACCTCTATGCCTCACAACGTCAACCCAATATATAGGATAGATCTTTTTTTTATGTTAATTGAATTTTATATATCCGAGTACAGTAATAGAAATTTAGATAATTATGAAAAATGTGATTTTTATTTTTCTCTATGCTACAAATTTCAGAGTTGTAATTGCTTTACATTGTTGAACTATTATTATTTTATTCATTTGTGTATGTGCAGGTATTGATACAAAATTTACTCAAAAGTAAGATAATGTTTTTTTGATTTGATTAAACCTAGCCCTCAATAAAAAAAAACTGAACACTAGTCTGTTATTTGATGAAGAGAAATTATAGGTAATTAAAAGAAGATTAAGTGTAGTTAAATTAAAATGTGGATTGTACTCTGTGTGTTTGAATGAATACTATTGTATATCTAGCCTAAAGCTGTAACTAAGCTAAGATTTCATTTAATTGTTTTTGTATGTAGGTAACATGGAATGTAGACAAAGAGGGCAGTGTTTCCTTCTTTGACTAGGTGTTTGTCAGGCATTTTGAATAAATGTTACCACTCACAAAATTACTCTCTTTTCTGTTGTTGTTTTGTTATTATCATCCTCATACAATTTATAATAATAACAAGAGCACTAAGTAGAGAGCATATCTCCGCCCACCGCAAATCACTTTCTATAAAATAAATCTCTCTACTAATATTCTGAGTAGTGTCATTTAAAGCCATTGATAATTTTTATAAATATTTAGGTCTGGGACCTTAGGATTTAAATAACACTGAAATTCACACCTGAATTTGGATCATCACCAACACTTAATAATTTCTTCCTTGTAACTTTGTTAAACTTTCACAATAATTTCTTTCATATCAGTTGACTTGTTTTTAAAAATATTTGTCTAGTACGTTTGCTCTTAAATCCCTTTAAATGGTCCTCACATCCACACTCTACTCCAGACCGTCACCAAAATTTAATAATATCTTCATTGGGTTATATCTAACACTCCCTGTTATTTTCAATTATGTCTGTTCAGCTGTTTTTGAGATATTTCGAATGCAAAAAAAACCACATGAAAACACCAAATCGTGACACACACACACAAACTTACACAACTGAAAACATATATCTCCTGGTGGATAATAATGATAATAATAATAACATGATAAAAATGTTGCCTCTCTGTGCTTTACATGCACAAATAGAAACAAAACTTTGAAGTCTCCTAATACTAAAAAGAAAAACAATAATTAATTAATTATTATTATTAATTATTATTTTAAATAATATAATTATTTGTTTAGTAATTTATTTACTCTTAAGCTCATCCACACTATCAAATTTCATGAGACAAATAAATGTGGGTATAATATAATAATGGGCACATACAACAATTTGTCACATAAAATAAGTGGAGGTATAATTTGATGATTAAGATCTCAACATCCTAGGTTCAAATCAGAGACCAGGGTTTCCTTCATGACCAAAAAGAACTCTACTGCCCTAAGCTTGGTTTAATAAAATTGCAACATTCAAGTTGAGGTGGCTTCCGATTGCGCCAGGGACAGCACATTATAGCAATTGTGATTAAGGCTCTGTAGCAACTGTGTAGACATTTTATGGAAACAAGTCCTAAGGCACATGGTTTAAGAGTTCAAGTTTAGTAATGCAAATATTGTTGTTAAAACATTCATTTATGCATGAACCAAAATAACATCGGTATTTACATGGACGTTTCAACCACAATCGGCGATCTTTTTCAACTGACTGTGTTGTTACTTCAGCCTGGTCATGACGTCATCAGTCCGATGACATAATATTAATAACCAGGCCTGTTAATAACATTATTATTACTGTAGAACTGATGGATTAAATATTCTAATTTTCTGGCCTCCTTTTTGGAGGTGTAATTTTCGCTTACTCTACCTCTAAACACTCTGAGATTTTACTATCAAATGTGCATCTTAAACTGCAGCGGTGGACCTTTTCTATCATTCAACACTATTTCTACCCCTCCTGTTATACTTTTACTCTTTTGAGTCCTTAGGAGGTAGGCTTTATCCACCAGAACCAGATCACAGATTTGAAGGGGGGTCTCTCTAGATTTGTACTGACTGCTCATCTTATTCCAACAAACTAGACACAGTTTTCATGGCAGAAATTTAAGAACTATAACCAAAATTTCACAGTTAGCTCTCTCTCTCTTTAGGTACCCTGTCTGGAACAGACATTGGCGATCATGGTTCTCCACTCAAATCTGTCCTCAGCTAACCTTAGAAGGTCATTATTATTGCCGTTTTTGGTTAACCATGAGTTTAAACTTCCAATAAAAGTAATTCTTTGTCTACCCCTGCTGCGTCTCCCCTCGATCTTCCCCGTGATAGACAGATATTCCAGACCCTTGTGACGGCAGATGTGTCCTAAAAACTGTAGCTGTCTCCGTCTTATAGTTTTGATTAATGATCTCTCTAGATTTGCATCATTCAGTACTGATTCATTGGACTTTTTTTCCATCCATGAAATTCTCATCATTCTTCTTATAAACCACATCTCTGCTGCCTCTAATTTCCTTTCTGTTTCTTTGTTTAATGTCCAACAGTTAGCTACTAAACAGTTAGCTACTAAAACATTTAGATTTTGAAAGAGTCCCATCCCATACAGTATTTCATAAAGTTCTTAATACCTAAGTTTATGAACTCCCATAGAGTTCGCGACAATTTTGACTTCTTGACCCGTTTTTAAAATTTATTTTTATTCTGATCCTTGTTATCTTTTGTGAATCTGTAATTTATTTTTAATCGTTTTAACGAAATTTTATTTTACATGCAATTTGGCCACTAGATGTAGAATTTTGTTTGTATTGAAATAATAATAATAATATTATTATAATATATATATATATATATATATATATATATATGTTTATATATATGTACATATATG